TATGAATAGACCCATGCACCACTGTCATGGCACAATGTCTCCAGCATGAGTAAATTAATTAATATTAGCTAGTTTATTTCTGTCAAAATCAAGGATTAGTGATGTAATGAAACAAAAAATATGTATTGATATACAGTATTTCCTTGTTTCACATAACAGTGAAAACTTTATAATATAAAATCTAATCAAGAATTTAAAATGATTTAGTCCACATAATACTCATATAGGCAAGCTTCTAACTGCATTGAATTTCACAACTATGGTCATGTTTGGATTACATCTTTAAGTCAGTATGACACCATAACTTGTGAATGATAATAGATGATATAGACCTTCAAATATCTGATCATGAACTAAATTGAAATGCATTTAAAAAATGTATTGAAATACAATAATACGACAGATTCACAAGGTATAGTAATGAGATATCTACTGTCGATACGTGGCGATAATTTCCATATGTGGTCATAATAATGTTATAACTCATGTTATCCATCCTTCATGACTGACTGAATCGCTCAACCTAATTTTTTTAACATCTATCCGTGTTATAGATGAAAGGATATCTACTTACTTGAAATCATGCCCGCCCACCAAAGCCATTCCTTGAGATAAGCATACCCACCTTGTCCTGGGGAACAAAAAAGATTACAAACTTATTAAGAATTGATGAGTTTGGAAGCCAGGAACTCGACTACATTAAATTTCTCCATAAACAAAGATCACGAACAACCAAACAAACTTCTACATCAAGACAAAAATAGCTACAAAAATTATCTATATCCATGTATCATACCTGCTCTCACTCCAGCCCTTTTTGCAACTCTTAGAAGTCCTTTTTTCTTGACAATGAAACTAGTTCCTATGAACAAACTAGAACTGATGGCTAATCCAAGACCGGTGTAGAAATCTCTAGACGAAGCTGCGTTTGGATCGCTCTGGTTATGATAAGTGGTAGGTATACCTAAAACACAACACAAACGAAGTCTGATTGAATTCCAAATCAAAACAATAAGAAAATTTTACAAGGAAAGTTTGAAAAACTCACCACCAACAGAACTCGCCATCTTATTTCGTCTGATTTTCACGACTAATTCGAGCCCAGTCTTTCCGAGTTTGTGATGACGTCATTTCCTGTAGCTAAGTGTTGTCACAAGGGTATGGCAAAATGGAGAAAGATTGAAAGAAAAAGGAAAAAAGAAAGAAAAAGGAAARGAAAAGAAATGCCTCGAAGTATACAATTGAATCGATTAATAATGAATGAAAGAGAAAATTAAACGAATAAAACATATAAATCAAAATCGGCTGAAAGGGACAATCCTTCTCGTTTTTCACATGWGAGTTTTTAGTCTCTWWTTTAACTTTTTTGAAGATTTTAAGTTTATCTTTGGAATCCAATTTTCCTATGTCACCTTTGCCAACATTTTTATTAAGTTTATGCACTCCTAGGGTGATTGATCTGCAACCCCAACGAGGGAATGGATGAGSTGATGTATATAGTAACCAGMAGGAGCAAATTACTCCCGTAGTACCTTAATCGTGGACAAATCACTTGGTTGGGACACCAATGTCCTTAACTGTCTTAATAGTCTTTAATAGTACCCCTTCCCCCGTCTCCCCAGACTTTACCCGCTGTGGGGAAATGGGAGCCGGAAGAGAGGGGGTTGGGATGAGAAGAAAAATACTTATTGGTCACGTATTTATCCTTGCAATAAAATGATTATTTTTCCATATATAAATTTTATTTTTGATAAAGATTGCGTTTTGTCACAAAACGGATCCTTCATCAASTTGAATCAGCTGAAGTGGCTGAACAGTAAAAACAGTGATGATTGTCTGTCATTGCATGAGTCTTGCTCTTTTGGATCGAATTTTTATGCCAGCTTTTTTCAAATTTAAAGTAGAATTTAATTTTTAGTGGTTAATTTTAATAAAAAAAATTGGTTAATTTTGAGGGTCACCGACATGACAAAGAAGGTCACTAATAAATTATTCTCCCGGGCCGGCTTTGCTAATTCAAATGCTTTAAATGCGGGGAATTTATCATCGTGAATACGTACAAAGCCGAAAAGCCACTTGATTGATCCAAAACCTTCTAAACTAATTCTGCATTGTTTTTCCCCTTTTGTCATCTATCCTACGTTCCGGTTGAAAAAATACAGCTGAAGTGAACATTCCTCATAGACCCAGTTTTTAAGGCGGCAATAGCATACTTGAACCCCAGAACAAAAAGTCAAGAAAATACAGAACATAAGATGATTTTTTTTCTAAACAAAATTTACGGAATCGCTTATTTCGAAAGCGAAAACGTTACGTATAAATGGATTTCACCCCACTAATTATGCAAATGTTCTTTTGTTCCGTTTAGATTAATTACCATAAATGAATGCTCAGGCGGGACTATTATATTCGACATTTAGTTGCGGCAAAACGAGCTTGGCCGCCTAACTTCTCTCGCCTTTGCTTGAATAGTATCACTGATGACTAGGGCTAGAACAAGTTGACAAATGGGTTTCCCGAAACCTGGCTTAGGCTGGCTGCCAGTCTTATGGTCGTTGTTCGCGGGAATAGCCATTGCCKTATGTTACTCCATCGCTGCATCCAACAAGCACATATACCCCTTTGTACCCGCGATAAGTGACACTGGGTTAAAGATTCCAGAGAATGCAATCTTTGCCGAAAGCTTCAACTTTATAGCTTATTCCGTGCTTGTACTTATGGTCATCCGTTATTTCCAAGTCAGGGAGATACTCTTRACTGGAGCCGTCGAAGAAGCGCCAAAAGAAACCATGCTCAAGAATCTAAATCGCGGTTCTGTCGTCCTTGGCTCTTTTGCTGCCTTGGGAGCGACTTTAGTTGGCAATTTTAAGTCTGAAAGGGTGAGTTTATGTTGTAAATCGACTACATGTACTTGACATTCTAAGGAGAAGCTGTGAATACGGTGAATGAAATAAGGTGCCCTCGAGTTGGTCAAGACTCTATTATTTGCATTTTGAATATATATTCACACTAGCGACGGCGAAAAATGAACAGTAGACAAGACTGTATCAGTTTATACTTAAGCTTTTGGGTTTATTTATTAATACATTTATAAAAAGTTAAGATAGCGGGATTTGAAGAATATCTTTTGTAAAGATCACAAGCGAAGCATAACCGCGTCGCTTCGTGTCGTTGTTTACAAATGAAGTATATTTGAATCCAAATGTTTTCATATGATTCGCGTACTCTCCTTTTGATTATTAATCGATATCTATAGTTTTACGGGTTGAATTTGTCTAAAGATTTCCGCAAATTAATTTGAAATTGTTGTCATCATACAGACTCTTGTTTGTATGAAAAAATGCAACATAAATTGAAACTGAAATAAACGTYCACTCTACGCATCGTTGGTGAAATACAACATYGCCCTYTGATAGCATGATATGTGTACAGAATCGATGTATATCGTTCTCTGTGTGGTCAACAATTTCTGTATATTCAAGCAATCAAGTTATACTATTTTCAAATCAATACCAATACCATTTCAGTATAGGTTTTGACTGATGAACAATAGAAAAATAATTATGAATAAGAATTTTTTCTACAGTGATTATTTTAATGCTCTACACTGTGTAGATAAGTAAGAATCCAATTACATCGAGAAAAGACTTGTACTTATGATACAGAAAATTTTTGCTTTTGAGAAAAAGAATCTAAAAAATATACCAGTTTTATCGACAATTCTTGAGTAACCGGGGAAACCAAGGGGTCAGTGATTAATCTTATTGTAAATATGGTTGACGATAGTTTCTTTGGTTTTAAATAAAACCTCGCATAAAAAGTACTAATATAGCTTTATTTTGTACAAAATGCTTGAATTTTGCAATTGGAATGAACGGAAAACGGTTTTTTTTCCGTAGGTCTTGACAGGTTTTTTGTTGGAGGGTCCTCCCACGTACTGACAGCATTGCTCATTTGCCTACTTCCCTAGTTTCCAAAGCTCTTTTGAATTCATCATACAACTTATCAAAACTTGTTTTCGAAATATTATCTCAAATCAGATAAATCAATGAAAAACAGAAATGGAAATAAAAAGTTTCTCGCTTTGAAAAACCTGCATGAGGTATTTTGCCTTCTCATACCTTTTAAGTCAATATTTGCTGTGGTTCAGAGAATTACTAATTCAACATTTCTAAAATCTTTAAATTGAAAAGTTGAACCACAAAAATACTTTCCGATTGGTAGACCTACCATCAAAACAAATACGATTTTTTTCAAAGAAATATGCGTTTCTTGTTAATCTTTATTGACGAGAAACACTTTTCTTGCTAATTGATACAAGAAGCAAATGCGGCATGAATCGAGTCGCGTTAAAATTTTCCTTTTTCGTCAGAGTATCAATCCTTATATATTTTCTTACGCTACTGATCTACTTTTTTCGACATTTTCCGGAAAAGGGTCGAAAGAGAACGTTGAGTTAAATATCGCACCTGATTTATTGCGAAACTAATAGTAAATTTTCCAACCTTCAGGGCGCTCGAACGAAAACGCTAGTTTATCAAATTCAATTAGCGTCTCAATTTGTCTTATGAATTTAGCAGTAAATAGTCTCAATCTGAGATTATACATGGTATGTGGAAAAATAGATCTCGTAGAAAGTGTGGTCAGATAGATGTGGGTAGTTTACATTAGCCGTGATTTTCGCTTCTCAGCTATATCGAAAAAAACCTGAATTATCCGGAATTATTCACGGCTTTATTGCTAGATATTTATAAGAAAAATATATCAACAAATATATCAAAAAGGAAAAATATAGATCGCGGTGGTCTTTAAAGTCATTAAAAAATTACAAGAAAGAAAAATATGTATATGACACGTTGTCCTTCGCCATCTGGACGCAGAACGTTTCTTCCGTGATACCGTTTTTCCCTCTTGATCAACATCATATCTTCATCAACCCCGCTTTCATGGTAGAAAATTCGACTCAAATCAAAATCCTCCTGCTGTGCCTTAGTTCGTTTCTAGCTGTGAAGTAACTTTTTCTAGAAAATCTAGTTGCAATTTCTATATAGGGCATTGAGAGTGATGGGATAAAAGATACTATGAGGTCAATTTCAGTCATTTTCCCTAACAAGAAAATTTTCATGTTGGMTAKACTTCCCGCRATCAAAAACGTGCTTTTATTGTGATTAAAAGCAGATCGGAATCTAGACGATCGATTTAGGATTTTAGAAAAAAAAATACATTGCAGTAAAAATCTATACAAACAAAGTATTGAAAATGTCTAAAAAAAGATCATCCCTCTGATATCACTATCAGAACTTCCACAAATAAAATATCAGGTTTTCGTGGAATTATTGGCGATTGACGTACGTTGCCTTGTGAGCAGAGCCCTTTTCTTAATCGTATTGACGCACTACGGAAGCTTGACATCATTATAACAATATCTCTATTGAAAATAACTAATACTACAAAAGCAAAAATGAAGAAAGAACTCATTTTTAAATTTATACTTTCTTGTCTCCATAACACGTTAATAGATAAAGTATTCACGAAGTTAGTCGTTGTTGAATACTTAGTACCGAAAATGTTTTTGATAAAAATCGGTTGGCTTTCGTGTTGTTCGGATGAACGATTTAAAAAAATAGACTCTGGCTCAGACGTTTATTGTTTAATACAGAGTTTTCCTGCTTACTTTGATTAGTTGTTGTCAAATACAACATCAATCATCGCATCGGACTTAAAAAAGGCACAAGACACAAACAAAGTGAATCAACCGTGCATTATGCATTCAACAAAAAAATAAGCCAAAAATCTTGTATGTTGAAAACCCGTCCCTCGTTCACTCGCCCACCCATTTCCCCTTACCCCGTCACTTTTCTAGTGCCGACTTCCAAACCGCTCCATCCCTCCCTTAGTCAGTTTAGGTAATGGTTGACAATAGATTAAGCCGGTTTAGAGTTTTGAAGTGCTTTTTATTTCCACTCATGTAGCTTAACAATCGCGTTTAGCTTTTAATTGATTTTAACGGTCAATAGTGTGCATGCCATTGATCTGAAGATAAAAAAAAATGAGAATGATTGACATTTTTATGGTGCTTTAAAAAGCAACATGCGCTAATGACAACAAATAACAGCATTTCACTTACTTAATTCATCAAATCAGTCGA